AAATAAAATGTGCTCTAACCTCGATATTTGATGTTGGTTCGAAAATGCTTTTACACATATTTTGGAACCTTTCGCCGGAGTGTGCTCTGGCTGTGAAAGTGGAGTGCCCCTGAAAAAGCGACAAGCCAAACACACCCGATGCTTCTAATGCAACAAAAGTCTCCATGGATATTGGGTGAATTTTTTGGAGAGCGACCTAATTTTCCGCCATTTCTCTTTTGTTTCCATCTATCGAGATCGTGCACTATTCGATTCGATGTCACTTTTCCAGTTTCTTCCGCCTGACAATCGAGTTCGTTTTCTGCACACTCCGCCACCATCGCACTCTTCGAGTCTCTCAGTGGGCCGAACGAAAAAGCGAAATCCGATGTCCCATCCGCACACTATAAAGGTCTGATCATCGACCTTTTTCGGACGTTCAGTCAGAACTCTCTATTCCTAATAGACCCTGGTTTCACCCTCCGAACTCTTCAATGAAGGTCCAAACGGCGACATTTGTCGCATCTTCTGTCTCCGCCGTCACCCTGATAGCATGTTTGCTAGCGATGTTCTCTATTTATTCCGATGTCACCAGTCTCTGGATAGAGCTTGAAGAGGAACTTGGCAGTTTCAGGGTCAGTAAAAAAATTCGGCTATCGATTTTGCGCCTTGAAATATTCAAACTTGTATTCTCTTTGAAATCTTTTTTTCAGCTTACAACGGACGACCTTTGGAAGGACATAATGAGCATCGGGACCAAGAAGCGAATTCGACGTCAGTATGAGCACTCGGAAAAACCACAACCAGCCACGAATTACAACGATGGGTCTCCCTCAGTCCCTCCTGGCAGTCCTCCATCTACCCCACCAGTGTTCGCCCAGAACCCAGGGGTATCAGCTAACTGCAACTGCAACGCCGACAACAAATGTCCTGCCGGACCTCCTGGACCAAAAGGTACACCGGGTCCTCGTGGCCCTGACGGATTCCCCGGACAAGATGGCAAGCCTGGTGTTGACTCTGAAGATGTTGCTCCACAACGTGACACAAAAGGATGCTTCTACTGCCCGGTTGGACCCCCAGGTCCACCAGGGGCACTTGGACGCCCAGGACCAAGAGGACTCGCAGGACCCAAAGGTCATGATGGAAATCCGGGACGAGATGGAATGCCTGGTAACCCGGGAGAACAAGGGCCAGCCGGACCGATTGGAAAGATTGGCGAGCCAGGGCCACCAGGAGAAAAGGGCCGTGACGCAGAACACCCAATCGGACGTCCTGGAGCAAAGGGTCCTCGTGGAGACGCGGGTCTACCTGGTCCACCTGGTCTCAACGGACTGAATGGACCACCTGGCGAGCCTGGACCGGTAGGACCACCAGGACCACAAGGAGGGATTGGACCGATGGGACCTGACGGCGAGCCGGGCGAGGAAGGACCAGATGGACGCCCAGGAAAGGATGCAGAGTACTGTCCTTGTCCCGATCGTGCTTCTGATTCCGCTGTGCAGAATGGATACAGAGGCCTCTGAATGATATTGTTTGTATAAGACAATAGCACATTGCAGGTCAACGCAATTTCGTCTCGCAGGTCAAGTGACCAGGTAAATCGCAGGTGTGTGGAAGTCGTCTTGCTACCAGACTCCTTCATTCTGATAATCTGTCCCAGGCCATGTAGTCATAGTATGGGGGTAGTGCGCCGTGTGCCGCAGTGCAAGCCGGTCCGCTCTGCAAAGCCGTCCAACACCGTAACGGTGAGCACTGACAAGCAGGAGACAGGCGCAACTATCGTCTATTGGAAGCTAGTCAGGTCACGTCGCGAGTGGTGAACTACGCGAGAAACGACGCGAATTCAAAGTTGCATCACCGTAACCACGGACTCTCGTTGGAGCAAGGGATTGCATTACTTCACGGCTAACATTCCGTTGGCGGCCTGCCCGCCTGTGACCATTTTAACAATGTGCTAGCCAGCATGGCGATCTAGCAGTGCCCTACGACTGTCTCACTTCTTATGTGACAGTTCCCCAAGTCTGTCCGATGCATGTCCACTCTGGTTCATCATTGGGCGATGACCAAGATGTCTATCAAAGATTCCTCAAAAATGTCGGTTATTGGCACAGATAATACCATACATCCATTTTGTGACTTCAGGGACGCCGATGGAGTGTGAGTCATTCTCAAGAAATGGACTAAACCCATCCACATTACTTTTCGTGCTTTGCATCGTCGTCAAACTCATTTCTTCTGTTTTATGGGAACCATGATATCTACTTCAGGAATACTAAAACTATCATGCCCTGCTGAAGATGACGCTTTTCGTCTCTAGTTTTGATCTCGTGGCACTTAGAAACTATCATATAATACTGCAACAATTTCTATGGTTGATATTCGTCGTCAATCAGTCCGGGCGGGTCAGCAAGGGGTGGAACGGCTTCTTCCCCTAAACCAAAACATTATCTTCAGTGGTGATGTTAAGCGATCGATTTGGGAGGAAAGCTACCAGCCGGTGGTAGAAAACGTTGCGAGTGCGCTCATTTTATGCTTCCTGACACCACTCCACTAATTGCAGCGACGAATCGATTTCAAAAATTGGAACTGATTTTATCTTCACACAAGCGCTGTCAAATGAAAGCGAAAGACTCAAGTGCATATCTCACTTCACTAATTCCAATCCATGCGAGAAATGAACTTCACCTCTGATCAACATATCTTTCGACGATTTTTTCACATTTGGCAGTCTTGTTTTAACAGAGATTACCTTTATTTATACAGAACAATCACAAGCAATACGCAAGTAATACTAGACGGGATTGCTGCAGTTGACTGTATGTGCTCCCAATGAATAAAATGTAATAAAGGAGAGCAGAATTATTTATGGGCACGAGCGCGGTCAGCAAAAAGTACATGCAGTTCCGATTAATGCCCGCCGTCCCAACAAAGAACAACTGAGCGGCTCTCCGTCAGAGGGCATCTAGCAAGTGGGCGGTCCAACTGGGGCGTTAGAACTAGAACTTTGAGCGGCTGTAGCTCGCTCCTCGCTCACTGTGGAGTCGCGAGAGTGGGACAGTATCTAGCTTGGGGGCTGCTGCACAAGGAAGGACGACCATGTACTACTTGAGCGCGGGGGCTGTTTTTAAGGGAGAGAGAAAGAAACCCACCACATACACAGTCTCACCGCCTCTACTGGATTGATAGGATTGCGCGACCGGTTCTGCCCTTTCTGGGGGTCTAGCCACTGGCGCTCCAGGAGTGATTCCCTAGGGACACCTCCTCCATATCCAGTTGCAACGTTGTTCATCCAGTCTGTATGGCGGAAGCGGGAGAGAAGTTGTAGACAGTACCCACATGTGCT